AAGTTATATCCTTTTACAAATTATGTGAATTTTAATTACCTCATTTAAATAGCTGATAAACTGTCCATAAGCTCTGGAATGTCCATGCCGCATTGAGACTTACAGAAACAATGGACAACCTTTGCACCAAATTTAAAACAAGATTTCTATGTAGGAAAGAGAAATACAGTACCTATTAACATTTCTGAGTTGAAGGTGTGAAATTTTATCCTGGATATCCCATGATTTTTGCCAAACCTTTTACCTTCCTTGCACGCTGATAGGCAGAAAGGTGGTGACAGACATAACAGAAAAAATTGAAGTGACATAATTGAAATGAAAAATGACACAAAGTTTTAAGTTCCTAAAATTAATAACAGAGTATGATACATTGCATTCTGTTTCCCACTAGTCTTCCTTCCTTGAAAGCTGTCCTTTTTTAAGGTGACGGTCATAGATCACTAGCAGTGAAAATGTAGAACCAAGTGAAAGGAAGGGAGTTATAAATATCAATGCAAGAGACACTAACAGACCTAAAGTTTTGGAAAGGTATAGAATATATAATACTAAACTAACAAGGCAGAACATCATATCATGTGAAAAAGGGAGAGCCAGGTTGTGATGCACAAAGCCTGTGTGTGTTATTACTTTAGCACTTTGATACCAGTGATACCCAGTTATTAAAACAACAAGGCCGCAATAAATTGGTAATGGCATTGAGTGGTCTTTGCTGTTCTTGATTGGAGTGGCTGGAATCAAACTAGGCAGAAATAAAGCAAAACGCAGTAACCAAAGATAGAGGGTTACTTCTTCGTCTTTGGACCATGACAGTGATACTGTAAACCAAAACGAGAGCCAGAGGCAAATACCCAAAATGTCCATTCCCCACGTGGGTAGCCTCAGGGCTGGAGACTTCATTCCTGTTTGGTCTTGCATGCTGCTGTGATATCTTAACACAAATAGCGGAAAGGCCACACTGAGGGCCCCACCCAATGCCAGCCATGCATATGCACACAGTTCAAGGGTGGACATCTTGATAAGGCGTGATCTGATGTTGATGAAAAGTATGAAGGGAAGAAGCAGGGACATTAGTTGAGAATAACACCAATATCCCAGAACCGATTCTGTTGTAATGCTTTGGACCTGCACATAACAAAACTTACAATGTTAGATATTTAAAACATATGTGGAAGAGATGAAAAGAGGGCATGTGATGTGTTTATAACTGGGAAATGAGGCACCAGATCACAGCAGGGTATACATGTATAGGAGGATTTAGGGAGAGGTGATTTAGAGTACCATGCTTCTTGAATGAAGGAAATAAGGGGTAGAGGGGGGGGGATCCTTATCCTCCTCAAAAAATCCTATATACAAGTAAAAGGGGTATCAAATGGTCCCATTCAATTTTAAAATGCTCACAAATTTGGCCTTTGCTCAAATTGCTTGCAAAAATTTGATGAGTGATATTGTTTGCTCATGCGCCAAATTTTTGCAACTTCTTGCATGCTCAGATTCTGGAGTCTGGTAGTATTAAGTTTCTTCTCGTGGTTAGAAACTGGCTTT